AATTTTCTTATTTATAACGGTAAAAAACCGAAATTAAATATAATAATTTTCTAAGATGACACTAAGATTGATACATTGGCACAGAACTTTTTGGTTATATTGTATAATATACAATATAACCAAAAAGTTACTGTATAGTACCGTATTATATACAATGTATACAATGTATACAATGTATATAATACGGTACCTCAAAACCTGGATGAGCAGATATTAAAACAGTATTAAAATATAAATACTAAGCCACCAACTTTTTCGTAATAGGAATCAGCGCGCCACAACGACGACGTTTTTGTATTAATATATTATATATATATAATACATATATTAATGTATAGTTACACCTATATATATATATACATTAATGGCCGTCGAGTATTTTTATCTGTTGTGAATATCATATATATATATATAATCGACCATTAATTAATCGGGAAAAAATATTTATAAATAGCTAGAAAATTAAATTCAACTATAATAGTATAATGTAATCATGATATAATTCAAGTATTTGTACCACGAAAAAATCGTTAATTATTTTGGTAGGGAATAGGTTCTGGTTATAATACTGAGATTCAAAATACGATTTAATCGCTTTGATGTTAATATTTAGATATTTACCTTGATAACCGATAACCAATAACCACTTCTAGCACTCCAAAACTATAAGCGGTTATTGATTTTCTGCTCTCAAATTTACGGTTTTTTACTGGTTTTCGTTGCAAACTGGTTACCGATTTTAAGCCCTGCTTAAAATGTTGGTTTTGATTTATAATTTTGTTCCGGTATGCAGCAGTTTAGTGATACCGCATGCCGCCGTAAATTCACAACACTTCGTTATTCAATTACAATATAGATTTATTAAATAATAATAATGTAATACATGTATACATAAATAACAGAATAATAATAATAATAATAAAACAAAAAATTATATTTTATATTTTCATAAAATATACGGGTGTTGAAAGAAGCGAGAGGGATCCGACGATTACGCACATATTATTTCGAATTGATTTATTCTTGCCAATTCCGGTCGTTATTCGTAATATCCTACCAAAATTATCATATATTTATATTTTTATACGATTGCGGGCAATTAGCTGACCTAATGTGCCTGATTATGTCTAATGATTTCAAGTCCCGATGATTAATAATTTTTGAATTGGAGCAAAATTATTAATAACTAAAAATGGTTTGAATAAACCGATTATATCGACTATCGATTAAACGATTAAATCGACTGAACATCCTATTAATCGTTATTAAAAAATTATAAATAATCGATTTATTAAAATAACTTCGCAGTCCTATTCCAGTGTTGAGATTGTTCAACGGTGACAAAACATTGCTCTCTGCGTGCCACTGTCGCAGCGTGCCGATGCGACAAAAACGACATCATTCACCGAAATCCGACGGTGACCTCTGTTTCCAGAATGAGATTAAGTTTTTCCGAAAACACGAGATGAATCTAGATCAACGCGCCGATCTAACAGTAATGCAACTACCCAACAACTCTCGACACCGTAACACGTCTAAAACGGCAAATACCATAATTGATTAGGTGTAAAATATTACACGAAGACCAGGGCCTCTACATCGGAAGAGACAATCCAACCATTGTACATATTTATCATTAATATTTATGTACACTTTGGAAGTGTACAATTCAATGATCGTTGCAATATAAATCCTTGGGACGACGATTAAAAAAATATAAATACACAAAATATTTATTTATATATTCCTTGAAGAGTATACTATTTTTTATTTTTATTGATCTATCATTTAATATCGAATCGTCTGTATTTCCAGTAACACATACAAGCGAACGAAACCAACACGATTTATAAATTATATAATAATGACATAGCTAATAACTTACAGGTTCTCTGTCCTTCGTTATTTGAGTATGTATAGCTATAAAACGTTCATAAATCATATAATATTAAACGTTCAACGTAATGGTACGTCAAAATACTTGTAACCAGGGCATCAAAACGTTATTATAATGTTAGGAGTATAACGTTCGAAAAAAACGATCGAAATCGATAACACATAACATATCGGTAAAAGATAAACGATTGAAAACGGATAACGGATAAAGAAACAAAAACGAAAAACGATTAAAATTATAATCGAATAACATAAGAGAAAACGATTAATGATTGAAACATGATTATTTTTGTAAAACTGACTTAAATTACTAGGTAAACTAAATAAAATAAATATAAAAGGATGTTTAAAACAACAATAAATGTATCAATAAAATATAAATAAGCAATACCTACCAGTTATAATTTATAAATATGCTTTCTGAAATTACGTCGGATGTTGTCGGCGCGGAACCTGTATGGCCTATAATTTCGGTGAACACCGATGAAACATTAGTAATACACTAGAAATAAGATATAAATTGATAATAAATACATATTTTACGTGGTATGTGTATTTTATTGTTGTTGTACAACAAATATGATTGCTTTATTTATAAGTTATAAGTTATGAGAATTACAAAAAGAAAATATCGATGAAGCTAGGGGTGTATTAGTAGGTATATGTCGTATACCTTATGTAAAATATTATTTTACGGGTATACACTCCTAAAATAACTCGAAAAAATAATAATAATAATTTAATAATTCATTGGAAAAAATTGTTATGAACAATGAAATTGATTGAAATATTTATCTGCTGAATATTACAGTGTACGATGTGTTTAATGTATTTTGTTAACTGTATTAAATAACATTGAATAAAATGATATGGAGTGTTGACATTCAACCCATGATTGTTAAATCTATATCATGAAATTTATAACGCGTCGCAAATGTATATCTTGTGGTGTTATATTTTATAGTCTTAATAAAAGTTATAAACATGTAGTTACAAAGAATTAATTCAATTTTTTCGAATGTATCGAGAGAAAAAAATTGTCGGGTAAAACGAAAAAATTTACTTACGGATTAATATCCATATTTTTTTAGTGCGTATACTCACATATATATTTACCAATACACCACTGGTTAAAGGTAATATATATGATATAATATTTAAAATATTTATTGTTATTTTACATAGTATTGATTGCTAACTACTACATTTGAAAACGTTTCAAATTTTACACTAATTTAAATAACACAAAACGCTAAAATGTATAAACTGTCAATAACGGTAAACGAAAAATTGTTTAAACGTTTAAATTTGTATAACGTTTAAATGCTTAAATTTAATAACGTTAAGCGCTCAATTGATATAACGTTTAAATATCCCATAACGGTAATCAATATATATCATTTTGATTTAGGCCCTGCTTGTAGCAATGCCAATTGCAACCCGAAATTATACATCATCATTTTTTAAACCGTTTAAACCATTTAATGCACTTTAAAAGCATTAATTCAAGTCACTAACAAGAATGAAACTACAAAACTCCGACAGAAAGTTAAAACAAAATTATTTATTTGTATTATAAAAAATTATCATTTCAAAACAATCTTAAAAAAAAAAATTCATAATTGATTTTGATTGAAACTGGAACTTTACAATCTAAACTTAGAATAGTATTCAATACAAATTACAAATACAATGCTTAGTGTTAGGTTTTGGTACAAGTACAGTAATAATAATCATAATAATAAAAAAACATATTAAATGTCACCAATATTGTATTCATGTATAATTAATGATGATGACAAAAAAAAAAAAAAATAAAAATAAAATTATAAGTAAAAATACAATTTAATTCAGACGTACATATTTAAGTCTTTATTATTTTTATTTGGGTGATTAAGGCACGTTCAACATCACATTATTCAATTTTTTTTTTTAATTTTTTTTTTTTTTTTATTAGAATTTATTAATTTTAATAGACAAATTCATGTCGACATTATGGATAAATGCCATAAAATGACACCCTGTAAAATCAGTTCTGTAGTACGCCTAACAATAATGATTATTAAAATTAAATTATTGAGTATAATCATTCAAACTTACTTTAATACTTTTTAATAGGCTACATAAAAAAAAAAAGGAAAAATATAAAGAAAAAAAATGCACAAATAAAATTATTGAAAAATTATTATCCAGTATACACCATTATACACTGGTAAGTACATATCTTAAAATAAACGTGCTCCAATATGATTGTCTACTATTTGTATTATTCCACACGTGAAAACAATATTTCCATTATTAATTTATGTTAAATAGTTTTGAAAATAAATAAATAATTATAATATTACATTGATAAATAACTATCATAAATACGAAACTAAAATAAAAAATTATTATAAACGATTCAAATATTAAGTGTTCAAAATATAAACCATTTATTATTGTCGATGGTGGAACACTGAAAATATAATGGAAAATTAAACTTTCACTGTTTTTGTAAAGTTCAAAAATACCAAAATTTATTCTTCTATAAAATGAAATTAATATCTTCAGTGTTCCTCATCAAGAAAAAAACAGTTCATATTTAAAACAATAATTATAATTAAAATTAAGATCGTCTAAATATGTAACAAATTGTTCGTATAACCAATAATTTAATGAATCACATGCAAATAATATATATATAATTTTTTTTGTCATATATTTCAAGGAAGATTTGTGCAAACATTTGAGCAAAAATAATAATTGAATAGTACAAAGATTTTAAATTTAAGTAAAACACACGTTTTTTTTATTACTGAGGATAGATTCAAGCAAGAAAGGAGATCTTATGTATAAATATATATGTATATATATGTAAATGCGTGTGTGTGTATTACATATAATTATATAAGACGCTGTGATCTAGTTTTTTCTCTCAATAAAAAAATATATAACTATTACGGTTAGGTAGAACTTCATCAGGACTCTTGTAAGTCCAATCCACTTATACCGATTACTTTAATAATAATAATAATAATAATAACAATAAATATTCTTAAATAGACCTTAAAAACAAAAAGGCACCCTAAGTATAAATAATTAGACTATTTTACAATAAAATAATCAAAAAAGAATTCAATCGTGTTTTGTTAAAAAAAAAAAAAAAGTAATAAAATCAAATAATAACAATGAAGTTTCTCGTAGAGCGTCTACAAGAAGATAAAAAAAAATATATGTGTGGAGTGATCCGGTAACTATTGATTTCCTTTGGGAATTGAAAAAAAAACCACTATATCGTGTGCTGCGTTGACAATGATCAGAGTTATGTTAATGTATGTTCGTTAGCAAATCGGATCGTGTGAGCAAATCGTGTTCACAGTTTCACCGACAGCCTCGTGGACGGCGGTGCGTCCGAAGTGGCCTTGGTGGCCTTCGCCTGCTTGGTGGACGCGGTCGTCGTCGACGGCGGCGGAGGTGACAGCGTGTCGGACGCAACGCTTCCCGAGTGGCTGTTCCGGCTGTACCAATCGGCTACGATGCCGCTCTCAGTCGACTGGCTGGAGCACTGGCTGGTTTGCCGTGCGCCCTCGCTGCTCCGGCAACTGGCTCCGCTGCTGCTGCCGCTGCTGCTGCTGTTGCTGCCCGCGCTGCTGCTGCTCACCGATATGATCGAGTGCGGTCGCTTCGCGATCGAGTCCAGGTCCGACGGTAACGCAACGATTGAATTCCGGAACCGAGGGGCGGCTGAAAAACGCAAATACACATATTGAACATTTTTTTTTTCCCCTTTTTTCATAAAATATATATTATATATGAACATATTTTTTTTTTTCAGAAAACAAATAAAACGTCCTTCAAAACCGTTTCGAGAACCGCAGGTGCAAGTGAAATAAACGTATGCCACGTGCGACTTGACAGACTGCTGCTCCCTCGAGCAGCGCGACATTTCGGTGTTCCTTAAAAGCAGTAATCTACCCCTGTTTAGACGTCTGGGACCGTAACAAACCTTTACAACATGCACCCAGCCGTGCGTGAGATTCATTATCGACACACATGTTTTTTGTTTTAAACATTTTCCGTGTTCATAATATTTAATTGGTTTTATCGAGTTTATTCGAAGCACATTTTTTTTTCTTTAAAACGTTCAGTGCCAAAAGATCCGAATACTTCGAAAGTGAAAAAAAACTATTTTTTTTTTTTTTTTGAAACGTGAGTGTAATTTTTGTAGACTAAGAATATTATTGAATGAAGATTAAAAACGTTCTTGGCGAGTTGGACGAAAAAACAATGCGAGCGATAAATTATTATCGTACACCCATATTTTACTCATAATTGTATAACGAGTAATGAGAATAGCCATCAATGATTTTGAGTTAAATTTGATAATTTTTCAACATTAAGAGATAATAATAAATATAATACGAAAACAATTGTACTCACTTTTACTGAGCTGTGCGAACGTGATGGATCGATCATTGATTTGGTCTGCGCTAGGTCGGATGTCCAAACACGGTTTGTTACCAATTCCCATAGAAGACATTTCCGCCAGTCTAATCTCTGTAAGGAATAATAATGAGTGAATTAAATTGACCAAAATCGATGATGGACCGCGGTGTACGCCTGGCGATGGCGTGAATCTTTTCATCACAGTCACTTACAACGTCCCGAATTTATATTAACAACCGTTTCAGGAGGTGAAAAAAAAACCCAAAAATCAATAAAAATAAGACTTCCAGGACTTATGTACCTCGGTTTCGGAGAGCCTGTTTCCACAGCAAGTTGGAGAGCTCATCGGTCCATGCTTGTTTGATATCCTCGGACATGGAAACCAGCGTATACGTATCTCCTGGTTTTCGTTTTCGAAACCATATTTCAAATTTCGTGTTGCTGTCTCCAACTTTGGCAGTGAACCCGATGTCACTGGTCTTTATACTGTTCTTGTACACGTACAAATCCAGATTCTATGATAGAATAATGAAACTATATTAATTCAAACCATTCTCGAAAAATTGTATTCATCATTACGCTGTGGAACACTAAACACTACTACTGGTGACCATTGCGATCAAATCCGGTAACGATACTAGAGTTGCCGGGTCATGCCATTTGACGCTAACACATTGCTCTTACCGTTCGGTCGGGGAATCTTCGAGCCTTGCTGAACAGTATAAGTTCTTCGAACAGAAACACCTGGCGAAGGCACTTCTTTCCTTTTCCCTGCCACACGAGGAATTCGTTCTGCCGCAAGAGTCGGCCCTGTTCCTTCAGGTTCACGTCACACTCCCGGAGTGAGTCCATTGCCAGCAGATCGTTGCCGTGACGTAACTGGAATCTGACCATGCTCTCGGCCATGCGTAGGTGTTCCGTGTCTCCTTTTGCCATCTTCATCAGCTGCTGCAACAGCAGCGCATACTTCCCCATTCTCTGCACTGGTTTCAACAAGTAACTAGCCAAGTCCATTCGGTCGCGGAGTTCCATTTGTTTCGTCTGTAGCGATAGTCGAAAATCAGTATCAGTATATACGAGAGTCGATAAATCAAAAGAAAAAATATATATATATATAACGTATATAACGTATTAAGTCACCATCACACTAACCTTAAAGAATACAGAACCATACTCGGACATCAGCGAATCCGAATTCGGTTTGTTCTTGTTGTACAGCGCGTACAAATAGAATTTCTTTTCCTACACAAAACGCGAAATATTTTAATGTTTTAATGTATACACAAACACTCGTTTTAAGTCACTTACGTGTTTTAAAAAAGATTCGCCCACTTGTAGTGGACAGTTCTCATGTCTCTCTAGTTCCTTGAGGAAGTGCTGGCTGTGAAACTCGTAGATCTTCTCGATGTTGCCGAAAATAACGTTACGCTGACCACGCAACACTTGTGGTATTTCTTCCTTGAGCAGCATCGGCACATAGTTCTCAATGACATATTCGAGTGATTTTACGTAATCCCGTTCGGTCTGTATCATCTCCCTCATGATTAGCTTGACAGTTCTGCGAACGCGTTTTATGTACAATTACTTTAAGATTTTATTTTCATACTAAACACTCGGTGATAGCAGATTGGCGATACTCACTTTTGTAGTTTTAACGTCTGTGTTCCACAATCCATGTTCAACTGTAGGTTGGACATGTGGTGTAGATGACTGTTGACGGATAAAGGTGGTAAGCTTTGGTTTTTGTTGAATCCGGAATCAGGACTGTTGGTATCATCGCTTTCTTCATTGCTGTGTAAATAAATAAAAATAATACACATTAAATAATCGTGTTAAGAAAATTACGTTGTTCGTTCAATTTTTTTAAATCTGTATTATTATTATTATTATTATTATTATTCTTTTATTTCAAGTACTGTGGTTTAAAAATATTCCCAAATTAAAATATGATGGTGGTTAATCTGTAAAATTGAGTTTTACAAATCAATACAGGAGTTATCATTCACTCTTTAATTTTTCAATTAAATAATTCTCCAGGGAGAGTAATCCACGGTTATCATGTTTAAGAATTAATTTTTAAATTACGTTGTATCGAGTAATCCACGAATAAAATTTGCTATTGCAAAAATTTTCGGAGGAACAATTATAATCATATGCATACTAGTTATCTTTTGTGTAATACTAATACTAACAACAAGTTATGACTAATATAAAATGAAAAAAGTATTTTTGTGTAGGATATTGGTTTGAAACAAATGTTTATAAGTTTATTTTATATTAAATATTTATAAGTTAATCATACACAATGTATTATATAATCATATAAACATATGCTCCAATAGAAATTACAATTAGAATGGGGTGGGAAGTTAATTGTAAAAATGAATTTTATTCATTCGTAATAATAAAAGAAATCTAAAATAACACATTTTTTTGATTCGTACTGCATTTATTTAACTGAAATTGTACCTTTTATTTTCATCACTCCCTTCAGTCGTGTGAGAGCAACTCAGTTTTTCCTCGTCTTCTTCATCATTGTAAGTCCAATTGGCAGACGGGATATGACTGAGCGCGAGTCGGTCAGTCTCGCAATAACAATTGTCTTCCATAGCACCTACCCATCCACAATGGTGGTTGTCCATGGTGGTATTACCATTTGTTATATTGTGCTCCGGGGCGGACGTCCTTCTAGATGGCAGGGGGGTGCTAGTCGGAAATGTATCTGGACCTAACAGATGCTTCAGTTGGTCGTTGGTCTCTTCGCATCTTACCATGGCCACCTGTTTGAAAGGAAAGAAAGAAAGTATGTATTTTAATAATGTCCATTCATCGATCGAGTTAAATAATGATACACGCAGTAGTCTCTATTGTTACCTTGCACTGTTTCATTAATTTTTCGTTGTTGAGTTTGTTAGCTAACATCATCATCTCCGAGAAGTGTTGAGCAGTAGGAGATGGATGTGCCATTAAGTATCTTCGCAATTCTTTGACGTTACATGAATCGTGCTTTACGGATATGTACTTCATACATTCCAAAGCCCAATCGTAAGCCTGTGAGAATTATAAACATGAAGTTAACATAAGCATATTATAATAATCAAAATTATTGTAAATCTACAAAAACAAATAATTTTTTTTTTTTTTAATAATTTAAAACTGAACTCATTACACTATCATACCTTGTCAAGTAAATAAAAACATCGTGACGTATCTTCGAGTCTTTCACGAGTTTCTTCGAGTCGATCACTAAAACCTCTTAGATGCTGTTTTAAAGATTTGGCTAGATCTTTTAAACTAGTTCCATTGCTACATTGTCCTGCTTCTTCCAACAAATCTCCAGCTCTGTCAAGATTTTGCTGTAATAAAAAACACAACATTTTAGAAAAACTGTAAATATTCAATTGAAACGGAAAATGTATAAGTAAAAAAATACAATTATTGGATATTATAATATTCTTCGTGTAATAATCAATTACTAATCGGTTATATAACTATTAGAAAGTATAACTACTAAGTATTAATTACTACTTAGTATTAATATGCGTTTTAAACCATAATACTGTAATAAATCCGTAAGCAAACATATAGAAAATGAACATGCACTTAAAACAAATAATGCATGCGTTTTTCTATTATAGAGCAAGACATTTTTTAAGTTCAATGTTGTTTTGAAGGATATTTTTCCAATCACGCATAAAGTGTAACTAAATTTTGCATAAAAAATATTACTAACATTTTTTTTTTAACAAACACTTCTAGAAAGGCATTTAACAATTAAATTTAATTATTTTTACAATAGGTAAAAATTAATTCAAGGCTGTAATGTATGAGTTTAATGTATTTATTTGATTTATTAAACGATAAATTGTAAATTTTTTTTCGCGTGTACTGTTAAATGGTATTTGATCATTATTTCTGTACAGTAAGAATAATATTATGTTTTCGTGCATGACGTATTCATTGTTTTAAAAACATTCACAACATTTGTATAAATTCGTAACATGCAAAATAAATTTGAACGTATTTACGAAATTGCCCTTCTTGTTTATTATAAATTTAATATTATGGCTGAAATTCCTCGGCATGGATTTTTGCACATTAATAATACGTGTATTGGAAGAACCTATTACCATCAAGTCGAGAAATCCAAAAATCATCAATCGCTATATAATAATTATCTTACAAAATAATTGGTGGTTTCAGATTAAAACAGTCGATTAAACGAATATAGTATAGGCTATGCAGTTCCAAATTCATGTTACTGCGTACAGTAGATACCGTCAAAACGTAAGTAAGCCGTCGTAGTTAAAGATCTTTCGCTTTTGAGGTTTTCACAGTTTTCACCGCTAACATAAATATCGTATAACACATATAAATCAATTTTTTTCATTTGCTAAAACTAACGAACTTATTTAATCGTACTAGAGCGATGAGCGATAATTACGCTACACATATACTACCAACTGGTCGTAAAAAACTATTATTTTAGATAGTAATAGTATGCAAGTTATTATTCCACATTCACATCCTTATATATTTATAACGGTGCGAAATTACTATGACAGCGAACAGTTAAAGAGGGAGAAGTTGATTAATATTTATGTAAATGTATTGTTAAACCACATCGTCGTACGAATAAAAATACTTACATCTTTCCGGTTTTATTTATTTATGGAAATTTGAATAGTTACTACGAGTTATTAAATGGCCACTATTTAAACCTTAAAAATCTAGGAAAGCAATAACTAAATCACTATCGAGCTACACAAAGTATATGATCGTACTATGATATAATAATCTAAGGATAAGCTGTATACATGTCATAATTTAGATGCTTGGCAATCATATTAAAAATAAGATCGACAGCAGATGATAGTTAATATTTCATTATTGATATTACAATCAACATTCTCCAAACGATATATATAATGTTATTATTTTAAAAATATAATAGATAAATGTTACTCAAGTAATTTTTACTCTCAAACTTAGAGTGCTAAATTGTAAAGGATTACACGGACTAGATCAAAATGGTTTACGGTCAACCGGTATTGCCCTTTTCCGCTAATCATCGTGGAGTCAACGTGGAACCGATCATTACCTCATAACTGAGGTAAATTATTTTATATCATAACCTCATATACGTACATTTTCGCGATACCTATGGAGCAAATGAGATCTATTATAGAATTTATTATAGTGTTGTTTTAGGCGCAGTATATGTGTGTAGACGCTTACTAAATTGGCGTTTTCGACTGATAGGTGTGTGTGCACAGAAAGTCGACAGTTCGAATATGATTACAATAACACATAAAAACTAAGAAAAAGGGTGACTACCCACACAGCATTTGTCAATCATAATGGTTGAAACAGTATTTATATATGATTAGAATTTAAATATTTAAAATAAAAATGTTATGCGACAATTTATCGAAAACAAATATTTAAAAATAAATGGAAATTTAAAAATGTTATAAATACTTAGTACCTAATTCCATGTTTAAAAATGTATATGCAATGTAAATTTAACATTTATTAAATATTTACTAAATATTGAATAAATGTATCTATGCTGTGCAGGTTAGGTGCTCAGCTCAATGCCGCTACGGTTACGAATTAATAGGTCCGTGTTGGTATTAT